CTGCGTGAAGAAGCGAGGCGCAAGGCCAGTGATCATGGCATCCCCGCCTCGTTGCCCGTGCCGATCACGGCGGACACGCTCCCTCTAGAGTTTTGGATGGCAGTCGACGAGATGCAGAAGGCAGAAGAAAGAGCAAAAGCGCAAGCAGAGCATGCCGAGCGCATGCAAAGATACGATGCTGAGGCGAAGCGTCGCAACCAACGATCTTTGGCAATGTAGAAGCAGTACACCGTGTGATTGCGCTCGTCAGCAACGTCGGTCACCATCGTCGACAACGAGGCAAAAGCCGCGTAGTGCTTGGCAGCAGCAGCAAGGAAGACGCTGACCTCTCGCTACTACGCGCAATTTGGGTTCAGGAATCGGGACCTCTTTCGGAGCCCGTCCGATCTTTCTTGGACTTCGAATCTGGCTGAAGCACACTTTTGGGAAAAGCCCTCGCTCCAGTCTTGGCGAGTGAAGCTATGCTTCCCATTGTCTTTGCACCACTCAACTTGTTCCAGCATTCACTGCGATCTCCAAATTCACAGATCCTATAATCATAGCCGTTGGGTGCGTCACAAAGTCGCCATACGCAACAATCATTCAGTCTGATATCCACTTCTCTGCAAACACACCATTGTCCTGTACCAATCACACCATTGTCTTGTACCATCCCTTCATCCGTCAAAGATCATCATCTGCAATAGTCATTAGTCACCCCGTTCCTCAGTGTCGCGTAACCTTCGCAGCACCGTTGAGGCCCAGCACTCTTGTACCGAGGCGGACGAGCGAGCGCCCGGGACAGACCACTGTGTGCGTATCGCGATGAACATCGGCAACGTGTGCGCGTGTGGCAGAACAGGCGTTAATGTCCATCTCAAGACCAGCATGATCGACTTCAATTCACACGTCCGCAATCATCGAATGCGCATTCACGACTCTCACCGAATCCACGCACATCTTTTGCTTCACAGCGCATGTTTCGTGTGTAAAAAGAATTGCGCTCAGATTGGCCAAGAAAAGGCATGGAAGAGCGGAAGGGAAAAGGTGTTGGGCGTGGGAAAGGGACGAGTAAGATGACCCTTCGA